CATTCATAAATAAACCTTAGTACTTATGACTTAGGATTTGAATTGCTAAATCAATTTCCACCGAGTACCCAAGGGGAGTGTGTGTAAAACCTCACTATCATTACTCATGCTTCAACAGATAGGTAATATCTATGGAACTAGTCATTCCTAGTTGCACATTCCTTTTAGTGGGTTGAGTGGTATGGTTCATTTAGCACTGGTCCTTCAGTTCAGATCCAGAGTGACCAAACTTCGTCCTAGTCGAACCTATTTATATATAGATGTCTGTGTGTGTGTGTGTGTGTGTGTGTGTGTGTGTGTGTGTGTGTGTGTGTGTGTGTGTGTGTGTGTGTGTGTGTGTAATATAAATATATCACATGTACATATAAATATATACATAAATATGTATATGCATATATAAATATATATACATATCTATGTATATATGTACATATAAAAATATATACATATCTATGTATATATGTACATATAAAAATATATACATATCTATGTATATATGTACATATAAATATATATACATATGTGTATATATGTACATATAAAAATATATACATATCTATGTATATATGTACATATAAATACATATACATATCTATGTATATATGTATATATATGCATATATATATATATATATGCATGTATATATGTACATATAAATATATATACATATCTGTGTATATATGTACATATAAAAATATATACATATCTATGTATATATGTACATATAAATACATATACATATCTATGTATATATGCATATATATGCATATATATATATATGCATGTATATATGTATGTGTATATATATATATATGCATATATATATACACATATATGTATATATATGTATATATATATATATGCATATATATATATATATTAATACATATATATATATATTGATATATATATGTGTATATATATGTATATGCATATATATATGTATGTATGTATGTATATATATGCATATATACATATATGTATGTATGTATATATATATATGTATATATATACATATGTATATAAATATATACATATGCATATATATATATATATATATGTATATGTATATATATATATGTATATATATATATGTATATGTATATATATATGTATATAAATATATGTATATATATATACATATATATACAGATAGTCCCCTACTTAAGAACATTCTACTTATGAACATTCCATACAAATAAATTTTTTTAACCCAATGGCGCCGGGTGTACAAAAGAAAAAAAAAACTCTACACTTAAACAAACAAAGGCAGGGACATCAGCCCGAGTCACTGGCTCGCCGCGCTTTGGCACGCCGCCGGCTCGTTCGGCTGCACACCAGCTTTCGAGCTCTTTGTTTACAAGCCGATCGGCGTCACCCGGCACCAAGAGGTTAAGTACTAAAGTCAAAAAAATTGTTTGAAAGATGCTAGCAAACTTCAAATTTCCCGGGCACAAATATAGTTCAAGAGTCTGGTACAGTATAAGGAATGTCAAGCTTATTGGGATTTACTTACAGGTATTCTTAATGTAAACAAAACTTTAAAACAAAGGGAAAAAAGGTAATGGAGACCCGACTTTCGACATACAAACGAATCGACATACAAACAGCCTCTCGGTCCCCATTATGTTCTTAAGTTTGGGACTTACTGTATATGCATATATATATATATATGCATATTAAGAACACAATGGGGACCGAGAGGCTGTATGTTCTTAAGTTGGGGACTTACTGTATATGCATATATATATGCATATATATATATATATGAATATATAATATATGCATATATATATATATATGCATATTAAGAACACAATGGGGACCGAGAGGCTGTATGTTCTTAAGTTGGGGACTTACTGTATATGCATATATATATGCATATATATATATATGCATATATATATATATGCATATATGCATATATGCATATATATATATATGCATATATATGCATATATATATATATATGCATATATATGCATATATATGCATATATATATATATATATGCAAATATACATATATATATATATATGCATATATATATATGCATATATATATGCATATATATATACATATATATGCATATATGTTTATATATATGCATATATATATATATATATATATATGCATATATATATATATATATGCATATATATATATATATATGCATATATATATATATATATATATGCATATAATATATATATCATATATATATATATATATATATATATGCATATATATATATATATGCATATATATATATATATATATGCATATATATATATATATATGCATATATATATACATATATATGCATATATATATATGCATATATATATATAAGCATATATATATGCATATATATATATATAAGCATATATATATGCATATATATATATAAACATATATATATATGTATGTATGTATACATATATATACATATATATGTATATATATGTGTATATATATATGTATATATATGTATATATATGTATATATGTATATATGTATATATACGTATATATATACATATGTATATATATATATGCATATATATATATATATATATATATATATATATATGCATATATATATATGCATATATATATATGCATATATATATACATATATATATATATATGCGTATATATATATATATGCATATATATATGCGTTAATATATATATATATGCATATATA